CAGTACTGTACATGCACACATGCAGCAGGGAGAGGCAGTACTGTACATGCACACATGCAGCAGGGACAGGCAGTACTGTACACACACACATCCAGCAGGGATAGGGAGTACTGTACATGCACACATGCAGCAGGGATAGGCAGTACTGTACATGCACACATGCAGCAGGGATAGGCAGTACTGTACACACACATGCAGCAGGGATAGGCAATACTGTACATGCACACATGCAGCAGGGATAGGCAGTACTGTACATGCACACATGCAGCAGGGAGAGGCAGTACTGTACACACACACATGCAGCAGGGATAGGCAGTACTGTACATGCACACATGCAGCAGGGAGAGGCAGAGGAAAGAATAAACAGGTGAAATAATAAGAACCATGAGTAAATAATAATAATAATAAAACCTTTGAAAATTCTTGTATCTATAAGATTTTGTTCAAACAGCCCCCAGCCTGTAATTCTAGCTATTTGAGAGGCTGAGGCAGGAGGTAATTCTCCATGCTTGGCTGCTAAATAAATTCAAAGCTAGCCCATTTGAGAGTATTGTATTGTGATCACTTATCAACACTTGTTCAAGAAAAACGAATGGAAGTATGTTTGTGTATGTTTGTGGTTTGTCATTTGTTAACTGTGTCCCTGATCCCCTAGTCATTCTCAGTCTTCAATGTAAAATACCCAATAAAGACATGGGCACCAGAGTTTGACTCCCTCTTTACTAGAACCATAGTGCTGGGGTTGATGGTCCTGCCCCATAATAAATAAGCAGTGTACCATAACTACAAAGAAGTGCTTGTAAAATTAAAGGATTTATTTTATTCAAGGTTGAGATCACATGGTAAATTTTGTTTGTGAAGCCCTACCTGGGACCAGCCACATAAATAAACCTAACATTTTATAAGCATGCCAGTTCAGCACCAGACGTATGGAATCAGCAGGAGAAAAAGTACTGAGGTTTTTTTTTTTTTCATTTGCAGAGGTTTTAGATAAGTTTTCATGTCCCTTGTGGATTTGTTTTGTTTTGTTTTGTTTTGTTTTGTTTTGTTTTGTTTTGTTTTCAAGAGAGTGTTTCTCTGTGTGTAACTCTGGCTCTCCTAGATATTTCTCTCTCTCTCTCTCTCTCTCTCTCTCTCTCTCTCTCTCTGTGTGTGTGTGTGTGTGTGTGTGTGTGTGTGTGTGTGTCTCTGCCTCTCTCTCTGTCTCTCTGTCTCTCTCTCCCTCTCTCTGTCTCTGTCTCTGTCTCTCTGTAGACTGGACTGGGCTCAAAGATCCACCAGAAGATCCACTTAGGAGACCCGCCTGCCTCTGCCTCCCTAGTGCTGGGATTGAAGGCATGTGCCACCACTGCCCGGCTCCCTGTCTGATTTTTGATACATAAGGTTTACAGCTGGTTCTTTGCGTACTGATTCTGTTGTGTGTTTATGTTATCATAGACATTGTTAATCTTTTTCTTTCTACTAAAACAGCAAAGAGATGTCTGAAGATTTGCCATATGAAGTGAAAAGGGCTCAAGAAATAAATCACTTATTTGGTCCAAAAAATAGTGATGATGCCTACGACGTTGTTTTTGACCTTCACAACACTACTTCTAACATGGGCTGCACTCTCATTCTTGAGGATTCCAGGAAGGACTTTTTAATCCAGATGTTTCACTATATTAAGGTAATCTCAATGTTATTGAATTATATTAAGATCCTAACTTTTAAGTCACTGAAAGATGTCAGGAAGACAGGAAAAAGAGAAATGGGTTGTGAGCTGGAGCGATGACTCAGCAGTTAAGAGCACTGACTGCACTTCCAGAGATCCTGAGTTCAATTCCCAGCAATCACATGGTGGCTCACAACCATCCATAATGGGATCTGATGCCCTCTTCTGGTGTGTGTCTGAAGACAGCTACAGTGTACTCATCTAAATAAAAATAAATAATATTTCTATAAAAGAGAAATGGATTGTATTCCATAGCCAAATGGGAGACTGGATGAAGTACTGTACAAAGATAGAGAGGCAATAGTGCTAGAAAGAAGAAAGTAAAATAATAAATGAGTAAAATCATAAAACATCTGTGAATACTTGAATTTACAGAGCTATAAATTCTATCCAGATGGCCACCAAGCATGCAGTATTTGTTAAAACTAAGTAAAATTAATACCAAAATTTTAACCAGTACAGTTGAAGCATCTCAATCACAGCACCTTAGGAAGCTCATGTAGAGCCCATTCCGTGTTGACTAGAGTCCCAGGATAAAGAGACTTGGCTTCATAGTGTCTTGCCCTTGGCCTGTTTGGTGTCTGTGCACTGACACACCTCTGTGTGTCTTATGAGTGCATCATGATTTCAACCCAGGCACTTCAGCAGAGGCTCCAAAAGTGTGGTCCACTGTGTCTTCCAGGAGCTGGAGGGACCAAAAATGGTAGAAAGGGACCAAGGTGGGGGATACAAGCTAATATGTCAGGAACAGGGATAAGCTCAGTCTACATAGTAAATTCAAGTCCAGCCAGAGCAACATAGTGATACTCTGTCTCAAATTTAAGTAAAATAAACCTAGAGACCTGGCTCAAATTCTCATAGAACCAAGCAGAAGTTGTGGGGGGGAATCACTCAATATCTGTAGAGATATAGACCATATGTGGTAACAGAATTTTAGAATTAAGGCCAATATTCTGCTAAATAGTTAAGTATAAACCAAGATGAAACCAAAAGTAGCCAAATGTGTTCAGAAGAAATGTTTGCCTCCTATTTTTAGTTTACATCCTGGAGTATTGTTTTGTGGACATTTTGCCCAGAAAGCTAATATAATTTGATTTTGTATGTAATTCACTTGTATGGTTTCAAAGGTATAACATCGGGCTTTAGAGAATATTTCATAAGGCTGTCTAGCCAAGTTTGATTATGAAGTAAAGCATATTGAAGGGACTACTGACTCTGAGCAGCCAAGAGAACAAACCGTTCTTTGCACACTAAGAAAGATGTTTTCAATTTTCTTCAGACTTGCATGGCTCCATTACCGTGCTCTGTTTATCTCATTGAGCATCCGTCCCTCAAATATGCAACCACTCGTTCCATTGCCAAGTATCCTGTTGGTAAGTCATAGTCCCTGCTGCATAGGTAAAGAAAATATAGCCTAAGTGAAACATAAAGAACATATATAGCTACCTCACATATCATTAATCTTATAACTATCAGATAAGCAGATTCACCATAGGCAAGCCCTAACTGAACTTAATTTCCTGAGTTTTTCTGAGCAGATCTCTGTATTTATACCTACTTCCTTTGCTGTAACACTCAGGCTTTGGAATTAGTCTGATGCTCCCTCATTCCCAGAACTCATGTAAAGTAAAACCTTCTATGAACGTCTCTCAGACCCACTCCCATTGTTATTGCAAAAATTTGTATATTCCATAGGTATTTGTATGTCTGTTACAGAACAATACTGTGCTAGGTCCTGACACACAATCTCCAAGAGCTCGGTGTCTAATGAGAAGACGGACCATTAGCCAGATAATTACTCCATAGTGGAAAACTGCTAAAGTAGGGGTAACACCATTCTGTTTGCTGGGAGATCTATTAGTATAGCTAGTTATCTACAAAGTGTACTGTAAATAAAACTGCTTCTATAACTTGAATCTATTTTGTTAGAGTTAGATGTTTTAACAAAGTAATTTGAAAGAGAATTGACAAATAATGTAAGTAAATGAATTTTTAAAAAACTCTGACTATTCAAATAGTGATTTTTGTTACATGGTTAAAGTAATTAATTTATTATTATAATTATTAGAGAACTATAACTAAAATGTACATAATATTGGCTAAACATCCAATATCCTTACATAGTTTACATAAACCAAAACTTTAGCCTGAGATTATAGCTCAGTGATAGAGTTCTTGCCTAGTATTCGTTTGTTTGTTTGTTTGTTTGTTTTTTGAGACAGGGTTTCTCTGCATAGCCCCGGCTGTCCTGGAACTCACTCTGTAGACCAGGCTGGCCTCGAACTCAGAAATCTGCCTGCCTCTGCCTCCCAAGTGCTGGGACTAAAGGCATGTTCTGTATTTATGCTGACGTTGTCTCTGTTATTTTCTATGATGTTAAACAGTCATACCACACTGAGATCTAGATCTTTATATTTTTAATGCTTAGTTTTTCTCAACATATTCTACTATGTATGTAAAAGTGATTGTGCCTCCTTCTGTACATAGGTATAGAAGTTGGTCCTCAGCCTCACGGTGTTCTGAGAGCTGATATTTTGGACCAAATGAGAAGAATGATAAAACATGCTCTTGATTTTATACAGCATTTCAATGAAGGTGAGTGGTGGGTGGCAGTTGTCTCCTGTGTTTATGTACATGGCTTAACTATAAGGGGGTGAGGGGAGGTTTGTCTATGCAAAACTTAACGACTTAAAATTGAAATAGTAATAGCATCTAGGTCATATTTGTCATGTTTATGATCTTAGCTAGCCCTCTCTATCTCTGTCTCTATTGCCCTCTCTTCCATCCCCCACACTCTCTCACTTCTCTCTCCAGGCTCTCACTACACACCCAGGCAGGACTTAAACTCTCAGTGCTCCTGCCTCAGTTTCCTTAGGGTTGGCATTACAGCTGTGTGCCACAGTCAGTTTCTAGATGCTTTTTGAAGATCACCGTTTTACTTCAATAGTTCCTCAGGGAATGACAAATAGACACATTCAAGAAAGGCAACTGTCAAATAAATCTCCCAAATAAAGTCAATTCCTTTTCCCATTAATTTCTGTTTTAAACAGCAAAGACAGATGAGGCCCACCCTGCTGTGAGGATCTGGGGATACTGGGGAGGGAGAGACATTTTCTTCAGTGGTGTAGCCACTTATAAATTGTCCATGCTTCTGTAAATTATTCCTCACCATGCTCCTATAAGCAACCCTAAGGAAACTTAGTGCATTAGAAGAAAGACCCGAAAGTACAAAGAGCAGAAAAGGATGACCAAGGAGTGGGAAGAGACAATAGAGAACAATGGAGGATCAGTATGATCAAATTATATCACATACACACTTGAAAATAAAACTCATCATTGTGAATGGCTAACATACACTAGCTAAGAACATAGAAAAGACCAGAAAGTTCAAGCGTCCAATAAACATAAGATGTTCAGCATCATGAGTAACCCAGGGAGTGCAAGTTCAAGTGACAAACTTCATTCATTAGATAAAGAAAATATTTAAATTTGGTTATAGTTGTGATATCAAATTTTTTCAAAGCTATAGGAAAAGAAAATAGGCCCATTACTTTCTGCTGAACATATTATTTGGTAAAGACCTTTAAGGGGATAATTTTATGTTTTTTATTTTTATATCCTTTTCTTTATTTTCTATATTTTCTTTTTTATATTCTGTTCTACATTCTTTTTAAATTTTGCTTATCTACTGTTTTATGGGAGAACATATGTATATGATGTATGACCATGTGTTAATGTGTGTGCCCCAAACCTAGTGAGGACTTAAAAGCTGCTCTTCACGCTCCTCTCTGCCTTATTCCTTTAGGACAGGCTCTCTTACTGAACTAGCTAGGCTGGCAGTCACAGACTGGACATTCTTTCTGGTTCCTTCCTTTCAGTGGTTACCGGCACACATGGCCACACCTGACTTTTTACTTGGGTGCTAGGATTCACACTCAAACCTTCATGCTTGCCCAGCAAGCACCCTTACCCACTGAGCCTCTCTGCATCCTCAGTAAATCCTTCTTAAAATATACAAATCACAGCCGGGCAGTGGTGGCGCACGCCTTTAATCTCAGCACTTGGGAGGCAGAGGCAGACAGATTTCTGAGTTCGAGAGTTCGAGGCTAGCCTGGTCTACAGAGTGAGTTCCAGGACAGCCAGGGCTACACAGAGAAACCCTGTCTCGAAAAACAAAACAAACAAAAAACAAAATATATATATATATATATATATATATATATATATATATACAAGTCACATGACCCAGCAACTCCCTGCCATGAAGAAGCACAACCACATGCGCATCCCGTGTGTTACATAAGGGTTGGTTATTCCAGCTTTGTCTTCAACAACAAAAAAGTGGAAACGACCCAAATGTTCAGCAGCTGTGAAGAATTAAACTAAATTGGACAAGTCTTCAAAAACATTCGTTTGTAAAAGCAAGCTGATTTTTTTAACAAGTAAAATGGCTCACTGGGTACCAGCACTTGATCTGCAGCCATAAGGACCTTAGCTTGAATCTTTAGCACCACATAAAAAGCCAGGCATGGTTGAACATGCCTGTAACCCCAGCACTGTGGGACAGAAACCAGAGAACCCTGAGATCTCACTGGCCAGCCAGCCTAGCCAAAATATCAAGCTTCCTGTTCTTCGAGAGAACCAGTGTCAAAGCAATACAATGGGAAGTGACAAAGGACAACACTCAACATCCTTCTGTGACTTTCACATGTATGCATATGGGTGCACACAGTCACACACACACACAGCAGCAGCAGCAGCAGACTAAACCATACAATAAACAAACTTGCTTTTAAAATAATAGCAGTAAGCTAAGTGTGATAGTGCATTCTGTAATTGAAAGCACTGAAGTAGGAAGTAAATGAGTTCAAGACCAACCTGGGCTACCCCATCTTTACAATTAATTTATTATCACTTGCCAGAGAGTGTGTGTGTTCATATAGATAGGAAAAGCTCTAGAATAAAGCAGACTAAGCTGTAACAGTGATTTCTGGGAAGAGGGCCAAGCCAGGCTTTTAGTTATGGTCAGCAAGAATGATGTGTTTTTATGTTATGTCTGTAGTTAACAACTGGATAGTGACTGGATCTTAGTTGAGTGGATTTTCTGTACATCTGATCACTTACTCAGTAAATCAAACTGTACTAAGTGTAACAATAACACAACAGTTTGCTTTAAGATTAAAAAAAAAACTTTTAAAAAATCTCAGAAATGTCCTGTGCAAATAATTCCATTAGGTTGCACTGGGGAATGTGTAGTTCTGATGATGTAACTAACATGTAGCTCAAGGCCTACAGCAGGCATTGTCCCTTAGCCTCAGATGTGTGCCTCCTATAGTCTAAAGAGCTTCTGTACTTGGGAGTCCTTTGACCTTCAAAAGGTCATAAAAACCAAAAATCAGTTCTCACCGCCCTTATGTAAGGACAGGTCTGTACTGTCTTGTGGAGCTGGTGTTAGAAAGGTGAGAACATTTGCACAACAGGACCTTAGATACCAAGTGTGAAACCACAGTGTATTAAGAAATGATACATCCGCCGGGCAGTGGTGGCGCACGCCTTTAATCCCAGCACTTGGGAGGCAGAGGCAGGCGGATTTCTGAGTTCGAGGCCAGCCTGTTCTACAGAGTGAGTTCCAGGACAGCCAGGGCTACACAGAGAAACCCTGTCTCAAAAAAACAAAAAACAAAAAAAACAAAAAAAAGGAAAGAAATGATACATCCAAGTAGAAGGCCACAAACCTGATAGAAGACATGGTGTCTTAGTCAGTATTATATTATTTTATTATCATTATACTATTATATTATTATATTATATATTATATTATTGCTGTGAAGAGATGTCATGATCACGGCAAGGCAGCTCTTATGAAAGAAAGCATTTAGTTGGGGCTGGCTTACATTCAGAGGTTTAGTCCATTATCCTTGAGGTGGGAGGCATGGTGACATGCAACAGACATGGTGCAGGAAAGGTAGCTGAGAGTTCTGCATCTGGATTGGCAGACAGCAAGAGGAAAGAGAGATGCTGGGCCTGGCTTGAGCTTTTGAAACCCCAAAGCCCACCTCCAATGACACACTTCTTCCAACAAGGCCACACCTCTTAATCCTGTCAAGTAGTGCCACTCTCTACAAACAATCATGTATATGAACCCATTGGGGCTATTTTTATTCAAATCACCACACATGGCTTACAAACCACAGTCTGTGTTTCCTTTAATATGAATGTGGGGCAGTAACTACAGAACACCCCTTTCTATCCCTACATTACCCAAACAGTTCTTCCCTCTCCTTTAATCTGACTTGGCCTTGTAATTCGTTTTTATAGCCCAGAAGTTTGAAAAAGACTAGCATTCTGAGTGTTCATCGTTACTACTCTTGGGGACCCCTCGTGGCCATTGTGTGACTCAGTCTATACTGACCTCCTAGATTAGGAAAGGTTACAGGATGGAAATCTCAAGGTCCCCAGATAACAGTCACACATATCAAGCTGCAACATATGAAATGCCAGACATGAGAGGGGGCTATCCCAGATCACTGAGCAGTCAGAGGACCTGCCAGCTCACCTGTCATGTGTCAGCAAGACAATCACCAATCAGCCAAAGCCAGTCTAAACCAGAAGAGCTGCCCACCAACCCACAGAATCACAGGCTCAATGTAGAGGTAGATCCTTTAAGCTGCTAAGTTCTAGGTTAGTGTGTCACACAGCAAAAGCCAGCTAGAAGTAACAACAGATCTCCTCATATGGATTCCTCTCTAAGGAAAGACTTCCCTCTAGGCTCCCACTGAAACATACTCTAGACTCTCCATCTGACACAGGTTCCAGTGTTTGCTTAGAGATTACATCCTCTATCTGTGATCCAGTCAGCACTTGGTTGGTCAATTTTGCATCATCTTTGGGGTTGAACTCCACTGTTAGGAAGGTTCCCTGCATCCAAAAAGCTCCCACCTCAGGAGTTGTCAGATGTGCAATGACCTTGGTTAAGACAAATATCCATTATGCTGAAGGCAGCTACCTCATTGATCATCTTTGTGAAGACAACCAGTCACAGGATATCAGAAGGAAGAGCACTGCCATATGTTCATCCAAACTCTCATTTGACAGGTAATGTACTCCAGCCTGCAGAAGGCCAACCTGTTGTTCAAGAATACGCAGCTAGGAAAACTAGGAGAAGAGAGCCTAGTGGCCTTGACTCATGGTCCTAGCAAACACTGATAGGTGAATCTTCTGTTTCTGCCTCTGCCTGTCAGAGATTTGTGGAAAGTGTACTGATAGGAGTAACCACAGTATTTGGTCTCTCTGTGTTTATGAGCCTCCATAACTGGTTTGCAGCACTTTTTACTTTCTGTTGATCTTCCTTCCTTAAAATGTCAGCTTTCTTTTTCTAGAATATTTCTTTTAGCTGTGATTAACTTATCTCACTTCTTTCCACAGGAAAAGAATTTCCTCCCTGTTCTATTGATGTCTATAAAATAATGGAGAAAGTTGATTATCCAAGGAACGAAAGTGGAGATGTGGCTGCTGTTATCCATCCTAATCTGCAGGTAACATTTGTTTCTTTGAAATACTGAAAGTAATAGTATTCTACTTCGGGGTACAATTTGACCATTCATACAGCATTTTGTGCATATTAGCTTATTAGTATTTAAAGTATCGTATCAGTCCACTCTCCATTGCTATAATGAAATACCAAATACAAACAACTATTAAAGAGAAAAGCATTATTTTGCTCACCATTCTGGAGGTTCCAGTCCAAGAGTGACCACAGTACTGGAGCTGTGGCAGGAGCATATGGTAAAGCAAACTGTGCAAACAAGGACATGAATTGACTGCAGGAAGGAAAGGACCACAGCCTCCTCCAAATTCTTCAGAAACCTAAAGGTTTCTCACAAGGAGCCATTTCCTAAAGAACTACATCTTTTCTTAATAGCACCACTCTAGGAACCAAGCCTCTAACACCTGCACTGTGGAGGACAACACCCATCCCAAACCGTGGCAGGAGGGACACATACCTTATCTCAGTACTCAGTACATGTGGCGTGTGCTGGCTCTAGGGGTACATCTGTGAGTGTGGCCTATAGTCTCATGTGACTGATAGTCTGGAAACACTGAAATCCAGTGTACTATCTAGAAATCAAAATGGCCAGATACTGTAACCTCATAATGAGGAGAGAAAGGCATCCAAACAAGACTTCTAGGACAGAAAATTCCTACCCATGTACAGTGAGTGAGGAAAATTATATCTATGGGCTTCTAATTTCGATTTCATTTTGCTGTTTTTTGAGATAGAGTTTTCTACTGTAGCCCAGGCTGACTCAAAGTCCTGACCTTCCTATCTCAACCTTACAAAGTTGGGATTATAGTAGTGTACCACCACACCTCAATCTAGCTTTTAATTTCTAAGCCCTTATATTCTTAAATTAGAATAGACAGTGAGCATGGCATTATGGTACAGGCTGATAATCATAACACTTGGGAATCTAATGCAGCAAGATTACAGATTTGAGGCCAACCTAGACTATAATGGGAAACTTAATCTCTAAAAGGGAGGAGATGGGAAAGGACAACAAAGGAGTGACATGACAGGAACAGAAAAATCAGCACTGTCCCACAGATGCACAGCTATGTGTGACAGATCTACTAATGATCTTTACAGCTGGTCACATAGTTGACACTTCCATGAACTTGTTTTTCTGGAGCATTCCTGCCATAATGCCATGACTCTCCTTAGAATTCCAGTGCCACTCCTTGCCTGGTTTAATCAATAGAATAATCAGTAGATTAATCAGAGTGAAGGAGGTCTCAGGGGAATTAGGAGAAATCAAAGGAAAGCCAGGAAAGAATCAAGATTCCAAACACTACAACACCCAATCCCAGTGTAGGACCTCAGAGCCCAGAGGTAAAAGAGAACTAGAAGGCTAGCCAGCCGTGCAAGGCTTCTCAACCACAAGGACACATTACAGAGCTTTCTTTTTCATTGAAAATAGAGATCTCTCTCTAGACCAACCACAGTCTCCCCTTTCTACCGATCCCAGCTTCCTCCCTCCTCCCCAAGATCCACTCCCCTCCATTTCCCTTCAGAAAAGAACACTTTCTTAAAAACAGTGCCAAAAATCTCAGCTAATCTGGTATTATTGGCTTGAGTACTCGTGGTTGAAAACCACTGTTCCCATTCAGACCCCTACTTAATGACTCTAATGGCCATCAGGCAACCTCACAGAACATCCTGCCCACAAATTCAGACCAATAGAACGTATCCTGCCTATAGCTTCAGGGAAGCCAAATAAAAACCAAAGGGAGCCAATGAGCAGTGGTTTTAAAAGATAGCGTATGGTAGAGAGAAAGAAATCCCTATGATGTTAGTCCAGGAAACAAAGCCAGCCGACAATGCCACACCAGCCTCAAACATAGGACTGTTCGTGAGTATTCTCATCAGTAACATCCTTCTAAAACACAAAAGTAATCCTGGGGCAACCGAGAAGACTGGCTGAGGACAGTGACCAACTGGATCAGTGTCAGGTCCCAAAAGTCAGGAAAGATCATTGGAGTTGCTAGACCATAAGAAATGTCCCCAGCCTGGTCTGGTGGCACAAACCTGTAGTCCCAGCTATGAGGGGCACTAAAGCAAGAGGAGCACAATTTAAAAGGCCTTCCTTAGCCACAGGGTTAGATCAGGGCCAGCCTGAGCAAACAAGTAAGACCTTGTCTCAAAGTAAAAGATTAAATAAAAAGAAAAAAAGCTTGGACTATAGCTCAGTGGTAGAGTTAGCATATGTGGTACTCTGAAGTCAGTTCTCAATAGCATGTGTGCACATACACACACAGTTTTCTACAAGAGAAATTGATAGGTTAATTATCTCAGTAAATACTTCTGAAGAGCTACTAAGCCCATTCTCCCTGAAATGGAAGATTCTAGCTTTGTTTCTGAGATAAGGCCAGCTCCCCTCACTGATACAAGAGTTTGTTACCCTCCCAGGTGATTCTGAAGTACAGCTAGGGAGGGGAAAGGTTCTGTGGGCAGTTCTTCTCAATTCCAGGCAGTTTATTCATATGAAGATTGGTATTCCATAGGTCTCAACATGGGGTAAAAGTCTACTTTTCTAACATACTCCCAGGTGATGCTGATGCTTCTGGGAAAGGTTGGGAATGCAGAGGCCCAGGCTCTGCCCAGGCCTAGAGAACCATTTTAGCCAACTCCCAGATGCTTGGCCAGCACACTGAAGGTAGACATGTTCTAGGGCTCCTGTGGTCGGAAGCATTGGTCTTAGAAGATTCTCATACTTCCTAATGCATCCCTTTTATATTTCTCTTTAGTAAAGAATGTCTTTTTTTAATGGACAATGTTAGTTATCTACAGCCTGACAGAATAAATTAAAGATAGGAGAAAAACCCAAACATAATTAATGTATTTTGATGTCTCCTGAGAGGATCAAGACTGGAAACCATTGCACCCTGGAGATCCTGTGTTTGTGTCTCTTGATGGAAAAGTTATTCCACTGGGTGGAGACTGTACCGTGTACCCAGTGTTTGTGAATGAAGCTGCATATTATGAAAAAAAAGAAGCATTTGCAAAGACAACAAAACTAACACTCAGAGCAAAAAGCATCCGCTCCACTTTGCACTAAAAATCTCTGCAAGCTCACAGGTATGAGAGTCTTGCAAATGTCTAGAACTCTGTAAACCTCCAAGACAAGAGTGCCTTACTCTAGTTCTTTTCCTCATCACCTAGTCCCAGGCCTCAAGCAGTAAGCATCCAGGCCAGGTTCTGAAAGGAAAGAATAAATTAATGAATGTCTTTCAAATATATTTTGGATGAGCTATATACAGTAGGCAGGCAAGTGTACTTCTGGTTTCTGTATTATTCTTTATACATTACATTCTGGTACCATAACAGTGTCAACTTTCACATTTCTATGTGCAACTTAGCACACAGTGAGACAGACTGAATATATGTTTTCAACTAATGCATAAGTGCTGTTCAAAACTAATAGTACAGACTTGGTGCTTTTAAGTTCTAACATGTGAATTAATGACAGTGTATTAAATGTCCATTCAATAATCTATAGTGATTACTGTGATATCTGTAGGCAGTTCATATCTTTCTGCAGATGAGATGTGAAAGGAAATGGGTACTGGGTGTAAAAGTGCTGCATGAATATGCCAAGAAACACTCCCCTCAAGAAGCTAGTCATTATTCTTCAGGTGAAAAGTTTGAAAGAAATACATGGTTTGCATCTCCCAACTGTCATTCTAAAAGAACCCCATCACCCAGAATCATAATCAACAGGTTATGATGGCCTGGTCTTTGGCAGTCAGCACTAGTGCAAATATGGCCCAAACTAACTAGTGACTCTGGGTCACAAACAAATGCATATTTTAAGGAGTTCTTCCATGTCTCAAGTGACAAAATCCCTTCCCTCTCTTTAGCCTCCTTAAAAGACCCTGTTTCCCTCTCCTTCCTGTCCCCACGAGGCCCTCACACCCCTCCCCTTCTCTCTAAAGCCACAGCAGTCATGTGAGGAATATTTTTATCCCATAATGTGAACCCCAAGAAACTCACATTTATCGATTCAGTATGTCTATCAAAAATACTAACATTGATGCTGGACAGTGGCTTAGTTGGTAAAATGCTCATCATACAAGCAGGGACCTAAGTTCAGTCTCTGGCACCTAGATAAGATACCAGGCACAATGGAGTACAGCTGCAATCCCAGTGCAGGGGAGGTGAAGACAAGCAGCTCCCTGGGGCTTGCCAGCCAGGCAATACAGCCAAATCAGTTAGCTCAAGATTCAGAGATTGTATCAAAAAATAAAGTGGAGAGTAACTGAAGATACGTAGCATGAGCCTCTTGTCTCCACAAATGTCCACACAGATATGAGCACACACACGAAAGTAATCATAATAATGCATTAACTGGAATAGATACATCTACACAGATGTAGATAGATGTACCAATCAATGTCAGTGACTTAGTGAGTGTCCAGTGTACACACACATACGTGCATACACACATACATGTGCACATACACATTATTCATCCAGAGAGAATCCCACTAAGCCAATCTCACCCCCATACACAGTGTATTCAACATCTATTTTGTGCCTTGCCAAAACACGTAATTGAAATATATTCTTCCTGCTGAATGTCATAGCTAACACGTGACATTTAAATAAACTTCCATAAGTGTTGCCAATCTCTTCGTCTCACTTATTCTGGTTTTTTTTTTCTTATTTTTTTTTTTTTGGTATCCACTTCCTCCGAGCACACATTTATTCTACCACCCTTTCTTGGCACATTCTGGAATGTAGACATCAACAAAGATAACGTTGTCATGGTAGGATGAGAGGGGAGGAGGACAAAGGGGCAACTAGGTGACATGGAGATTAAAAATGCTTTGTACACACAATGAAAGCTGAGTTGCATTTTGAAGGAGCCAAAGAATAAAGCAAGATCAGTCTGGGGAGGGGAAATCTCAGGAGGGTGAAAATAAGCTTGAAAGAAAGCATAGATGAGTAAAACAGTGTGAAGGACATTGGGGCAGAGAGAAAAGAAAACAAAAGATGAGTCTGGAGGTTGTTGGGGGAGGAAGAAGCAGACCGTGAAGGGCCTTTTGTGCTAACCTTGAATGATGACAGAAGTGTGTATTGGGCACTAGGCACTGAGCTAAGAGCCTGCATTCATTAGCTGCTTAATCCGAACAGTGAAGCCTCTAGTTGGCATGATTATGATCACCCTCCTATAAATGGGGGACCTGGATGGATATGTAGATTGTTACAGCTTCAGTCAAAATAAAAGTAGCTGAAAGCAATATAACCACACAGCAATGTGGATAGATTAAAATGATATTACATGGGGTGGGTGAGATGGCTCTGTAGTTAAGAGCATTGGTTATTCTTTTAGAGTTCAATTTCCAGCGCCCACATGGTGGCTCACAACTATCTGTAATTCCACTTCCAGGTTATCTTTTCCAGGTTACCTTTTTCTGGTCTCTGAGGGTATCATGAATACATATGGTACACAGACATACATGTAACCAAAACACCCATACTACCTCCCCCCAAAAAAATTTACAGGCTGGCTGTTAGGAAGGTAACGGTGCTTATAGCCATGGCTGATAACCAGAGCTTGATCCCTGGGATCCACATGGTGGAAGGAAAGAACACACTTCTGAGCATTGTCCTCTGACCTTTACATATGTGTTGTGGCTTGTACATGCATGTGTACACACACACTAAATAAATACATGTAAGAATTTTAAAATTCACATTTAATTAATTAAACAGCACCCATTCAGGGTACCATGGCCATAGACAAATCACAAATAAGTAGAAATTCTGAAGACTATAAAAATTGAATCAAGAAAAATTAGACTTGATAGAAATAATCAAATCTCCAAACTGAAACCATAGCAATTTAAAATGCACACTTTAGCTTTTATAATTAAGATTTGATGGAAGAATGAAGTCTGATCTGGTGAGTGTGAACCTATCTGGAAGGCTTCCCTGGAAGAATGGGCTGTTGAAATCCTTTGGACAGAAATAGGGAGCCATGGACAGCCACTGTGCCAGCAAAAGGAGCAAGTGTGGAGAGGCAGAGAGGTTCTGGGAGGTGCATGTCAGAGACACGCCAAGCTGCTGGACCAGGGTGTGTCTGAAAGGCCTGTGCACATGCCCCAGCAAAAAGTCTGAGGGAAAGTGGCTTCTCAGGGGACTTCCAAAGCTTTTTGCTATCTCTACATTCCCATGTTGTCTTCAGGAGGCTTTTCACTTACCTGCAGAGAATGCTTTTATATCTTTCCCTTAACACAGCCACACAAAGCTGATAGAGCTTTTGCAGATGGTTCCTTCATGTGTACCAAGTCAGCGAGTGATAGGTGAACTCACATTCAGGATGTCACAGTGCTCAGCACTCCATGGCAATTTCACAGTTCTTAGTACTTCCTTCTGGGGTTGGGAGTGGGATTTACAACCCTTAGCCCAAAAGGGAACTCCAGTAGAAGACGCCAATCAGGGCTGCCACCTGTACAGGCATAGTAGGTTTCACAGTGTACAACATGAACATTCTCCATTCCCATATTCACCAAGTAAAGGGCACTGACCAAAATGTTACATCTTATCAAACCAAAACAGAGAACTGACACTTCCTGAATTTGACACAGGAAAATAATAGAGATTTGATTTTAAAAACAAGTCAATCAAAACCTGGAGTCTACGGGAGATTGCTATGTTACAATTTGGAAAAACAGTTACTTATTGGTAGACTAATTTAGTTCAACGCAAGCATTCCTTTCTATGAAATAAATCTATTAAGTGGAAAAATTAAGTTTCGCCATCGTGAAATGGCCCAAGAATTCACTAGGGGTGGGGGAGCTGGAGAGACCGCTCAGCGGTTAAGAGCACTGACTGCTCTTCCAGAGGTCCTGAGTTCAATTCCCAGCAACCACATGGTGGCTCACAACCATCTGTAATGGGATCAGATGCCCTCTTCTGGTGTGTCTGAAGACAGCAACAGTATATTCATATATATAAAATAATTTTTTTTTAAAAAGTGCAATTTCCCAAGAATCTTTTTAAAAAAGAATTCACAAGGGAGGAGTAGGAAAGCATGGGTGTGGGGACAAGTAAAAACATAGGTGTGATGATCAAACCTTGAGAGGGTCCCCATTGGATGGTTTCTATTTTCAGTGCCAGCTTGGAGACTAAACCAACTACAGACATGGAGAAGGAGGTGACAGAGTCACAGTGTTAGTTTTGAGATGGCTACTGGAAAATAGAACCAGACAACTGATGAATTTTTAAATTTTCTAATGATTTATTTTTATTTTATGTGCATTGATGTTTTGCCTGCATATATATCTGTGGCAGATCCCCTGGAACTGGAGTTACAGATAGATGTGAGCTGTCATGTGGGTGCTGGGAATTGAACCCAGGTCCTCTGGAAGAATAGCCAGTGCACTCTGTACCCAAATCCCACCAGGAGAGAGCTGGTCTCCCAGGATTGCTCTCACTCCTAAGCCAAGCTGTGAGATCACCACTTTCTCTCCAATAACTGTCCAAAGAGGTACCTTCCAGGAGCACACAGGGCACAGGAACAGTGGAGCAGCTGGGGACATGATCCTCCCGGTCTCTAACTGCGCCCCAGAGCTAAAGCTGTCCCACAGTTCACACTCCACCCTCTGTACCCAAATCCCATCCAGGAGAGAGCTGGTTTCCCTTGGAGTGCTGACATACCTAAGATCACAGGCTCACAGGCCCACAGGAGGGACAAGCTCCAGTCAGAGACAGCAAGACCAACTAACACCAAAGATAACCAGATGGCAAGAGGCAAGCACAAGAACCTAAGCAACAGAAACCAAGGCTACTTGGCATCATCAGAACCCAGTTCTCCCACCACAGCAAGTCCTGGATACTCCACCACACTGGAAAAGCAAGATTCATATTCAAAATCACATCTCATGATGATGATAGAGGACTTTAAGAAGGACATAACTCCCTTAAAGAAATATATGAGAACACAGGTAAACAGGTAGAAGCCCTTAAAGAGGAAACACAAAAATCCCTTAAAGAATTACACACAACCTGGCTGGAAAGATGGCTCATCAGTTAAGAGCACTGACTTCTCTTCTAGAGGTCCTGAGTTCAATTCCCAGCAACCACATGGTGGCTTATATAATGGAATCCAATACCCTCTTCTGGTGTGTCTGAAGACAGCAATAGTGTACTCACATACATAAATAAATAAATCTTAAACAAAAAACCTACCACCACAACAAAACACCATCAACAAAAACAAAAAGAATTTAAAAAAAAAGAAAGAAAGAAATACACACAACCAAACAGGTGAAGGAATTGAACAAAACCATCCAGGATCTAAAAATGGAAATAGAAAAACATCCAGTGCTCTTAAGCCCTGAGCCATCTCTCCAGCCCAAGATAAATCCTTTTTAAAAATGAAACAAAATTGTCAAATAACTAAAATAGGACTTCAGATGTGTTGCACTTTGACACATGTAGCATGCTGCCCCCTCCCCCACCCTCCACCCCCACCACTGATCAGGATCCAGGAGAAATGCTTTCGATCCAAACATCAACCTTCCTTTTACCCATTCCTGTTACGAAAACACTCTAGGATTTCTAATTGGTTTTCATATTCATACAAAGCAAAGACAGAAACATGGCCATAACATGACAAAATAAATATTTATTAGAAATCAAAACAATATTTCAATGAGACCAAAGTAGTCTTACTCTTTATGATTTCTTGAGCATGTAGTTTCACACAAACAACACTAAAAACAAGTCTGTAAATTAAGTTATACAAGAATCAGGCACATCCCATGAGAATAAGACAATAATTCTGTGTCTGGAACCAAGATCACAGTAAATATAAAATAAGATAACAACATGTAAATTAATGCAGAAGTCAAGTATGGCTTATAGACTCTGGTGAGGGCCTGTCTCCCTGTTCCTCACCAGAGCCAAAGGGGACAGTCACCAAACCCTGAGGAAGGAAAGGAACCTCAATAATACTGTACTCTCTTGGGCAGATGCCTGAGAGCTCAATGACTTCACAGTACAATTCTTACTCCTTCTCCCTACACCAGGAAGGAAGGAAGCACCCATGTCATTCCAGACAGGCACGTGACATAATGTCTAGAATACAGAACTCTTCCTGGGAGTTGTTTATCTTAAAAAAGGGTTTGCAGCTACTGCCTGAGCATGCTCAGGCCCATCCCCAGAAAACCTCTTCCCCCCTAAATTACTGAAATGTAAATCATGGAGTTTTAAGATGTCCTGAGAGGCCCACAGAGTCAGTGGTGTGTGTGTGTACTCTTGCTATTTTGTTGTTGTTGTTGTTATGTGGCTTTAGGCACATTTGACCTTTAGACATCATTGGGTTGTAAGGACAATGCTAACTTCCAAGTCATAAGAAAAAAAAAAACAAAACTAGCCCCTAAATGTGGCAGCTACAAAAAGACCCAACGATAAAAACTGCAGAAGGATCCGTGTGGCCCAGAAATCAGGACATCCTAGCTCCACCTGCTCTGACATGACTTTGAACAAGTCTATGTTCACACCAGAGCCTGAGTCTCCACATGTATAATAAGGGATTTGGTCCTTTTGAACAGGACACCTTTTATCGAGATGCCTTTCTTTGTTTTGAAGAACCTTTTAGCTTGACCCTTTGGGCAGA